CAGCAACTGGATGGTCATTGATGACCTTGTCTCAGCGGCAGAGGACCTCAAACTGCAGTGGATCTGACAATGGGTAGGAGGCGATGAATACTTTAATGCAGGTTATTTCTAGGAGCAAAAAGCTTTGCTTTCAAAGGAGCTGTCCAACAATTTAAAACAAAAACAAAAACAAAAAAAACCAACCACCCACAATGCCTAACATGTATTGAGGACTTCTTTCCAGCAGGCAGTAAGCCAGGCATTTCAAATCAATTCTTCTCATAGTAACAATAACCTTGCAAAGTTAATACTATCATTTCCACTTTTCAGTAAGAAAAACCGGTTCAAGGTTGTTACATGACTTCCCCATAGACACACAGTGGCACACACAGAAAGCAGGATGTAAATGCAGGTTTTGTCAAACTTAAGCCAATGTTCTTTTCACACTCTGATGCTGCCTCTTCATCGCTGTAAATAATCTGGGACAGGGGAGGGAGGCTATTAACCATTTAATAGGAAAGGTGTTTTTCTTTTGTTGTGTGTGTTGTGTGTTTTTTTTTTTTAATACTTGAACTAGTTGACTTTTAAAGCCTCTTCCACCTTCTACAACCCATGATTCTTTCTCACGCACCTTGCTCACAGGTAAACTGTAACAGCTACAGAATTCCACATACACTCATCATTCCTTTCATAGTTCCTTTTATGTCATCCTCATTTACAAAAAATGAAAGCACAATCTATGAAGACAGTTAATCACTCCCTTCCCTGCACTCCACAGCATGTTGCATCTTCTGCTATTAAAGTAATTGCCACTTACATTGTGATTGCTTCCTCCGCCACACAACATACACACACTGGATAGCAACCTTCAGAGTTCTCCTACTTTAAGCCCCGAGCACACAGCACAGAGCCAGGCAAGTAGTGATGCATGCGTGGACAGGATGGAAGGATGGGTGGGTAGATGAATGGCCTGATAAGTAAAGGAAATAATAGTTTTTCAACAGTCATTTTATACTCAATAATGGATTATTTAATCTATTTGCCAGCTAGGATGTTACAATTGTATCACACTTGAGGGGAGCAGATAGATTGAGTGATACAAGAAGCATGGGATGTGAATTCTTCAAAAGGTGACAGGAAAGTTTCTCTCAAAAAGTCTCCTGAAACACAGGATTTTTCTTGAATTCAGTACTAGCCAAAGGCCAAGAAAACTTTGGTCAATTCACCAAATTATTTTTTAAAGATCGGCTGCTTATGAAACTTCTTTCAAAGAAGGCCAACTCATCCTCATAACTAAACACGGTATTTTGGGCATGGCCCCTGGGAGATGTTTGAGGAGAAAAGGCTGCATCGAGCACGCTGAAATCACCCCAGAGGTGCCTCCCTCCCAGATCTGGCCAGTCGACAGATCTGGCCAGTGAAGGTACACTCTCTGACTGTGCATGCCAGCCGTTCTTTCTGTCAAGATGCACACGACAAGGGGCGCCTGGGTGGCTCAGTCGTGAAGCGTCTGCCTTTGGCTCAGGTCATGATCCCAGGGTCCTAGGATCGAGTCCCGCATCGGGCTCCCTGCTCCGCGGGAAGCCTGCTTCTCCCTCTCCCACTCCCCCTGCTTGTGTTCCCCTCTCTCGCTGTGTCTTTCTCTGTCAAATAAATAAAATCTTTAAAAAAAAAAAAAAGATGCACACGACATGACGCTCACTTGCACAAGACACAAGCACACGTGAATGCAGACTCTAAGAAACTCTCCTCAAAAATGCTCGCTGAAACAGAGCAAACACGCAAGGCTTATAAGGATTATAAAAGTCCCACTGTGATTAAAGTGTATCAGAAGATCAAGAAGACTGCAGGTTATGCAAGATGCCCACCATGACAGCCGCAGCTCTATCCCTTCCTCTCCTGCATGAGGAAACACATCAGAACGTAAGGGAAAGTAGTATTTTAGGGTTGAGCATGAATCCACCCTCGTTTATACATAGATAATTTAAAATAAGTCATTTGCAAACTTCTGTACGTTGTTGTCAGTAGCTGTTAATACCTCACAGCTGAGTGGGACATGGGAATGTGTTGTGACACCCTAGTTGGAAGGCACTGGCCTCTTTTAGGCCTCAGTGAAACTTAAACTAGTTATCAAATGACAATCGAACTCACTGGGTTAGCCAAACCCAAAGGCCTTAGGAGCTGTTTATCAACAGCCTTCAAAGACTGGGTGGCAGAGGAGGCAGGGATGGCTCTGGGCGAGTGGCGTGCTGAGCTGCCTTCGTGGTGGTGTGATTTGCAAAGTCAGCAAGGGACTTGGCCTGTCCTCAGTTACCGTGCTAACATCACCATGGTGTCAAGCTATCATGCTGTCTTTATTATTGGTCTGTATTACAAATAAAAGCAAGTAAAATTAAAGCAACACCTCCAGAGAGAGAGCCATGTACCTGCTATTCAGGTTTTCTGGAAAGCTCTACTTACAGAGGTTAGGTATTTGACACCTGAAAGCTGCAGTCCTGGGAGGTGATACAACTGAAGGGAATTTCAATAGAAAGGGCACAAGGAGTAAAATGGCAGTGGCAGTCCTCACCCAGCCAAGGGGCAGCGTGGGATGCATACTAGACTGGGCCCACCAGTGAAGGACTAGAGTTTCAGGAAGTTTAAGGGTCAGCATGAGGACACAGAAGAGTAAAGCAAGACTGCTTAGGCAACCAAGCTCAAGGTGCTGGAGGTTCGATGAAAGTAGATTAGCCACGATGTACCTTAACTCACGTCTCCATTTTCCAAAGACCCTAACAACCTACATGGTTTTAAAGAAAGGCTACGGGGCTGGGGAAGGACCCAGAAATGATGCCATATGGGGTATAGCTAGAAGACTTAAGAACATGAAAGTTGTTTTAAATGTCAAATAAGCTCTCTTGTGAAAGACAAGGCCCATTTTATGGAACTCTGTAGGGCAATGCTAGGCATAATGACTGTGTACTCCAGCATTTAGACTGGTATCAACCCTAAGGAAGCACTCTGGCAAGCAGAAATGAGAGCAGGTCTCAGTAAGTAGGCAACTCTTCATTACATGTGTTCGTGAAACAGTGGGATTACCATCCATCACGCAGGCTGGACAGGACATTCCACATTGGGGATGGCCTGGGCTAGATCATCGCTGCACCTTCCAATTCTGAGTTTGGTTTGTTTTGCTTTGGTTCAGACACAGCAAGTATAAGAGATAAAAGTTCTCCCACTCATCTCTCAGTCACTCTCACCATACAGAGTCAGGGCACTGGCTTCAGGCCAGATGAGGGGTTGATTTCCAAAGTTTCTCCCAGCTTCAAAACTTCGTAATTTTAGATTTAGATCACATACAACCCAAATAAATGAGAGCCATTTATTCTCTCTGTTCAAAAGATTCCCCCATAATCTACGCCAGTGTTAAATGTCCATGACTGCTTTAAAAAAAAAGTCACCTAAATCACAGATGCTTGCCAATAGTGTTTTCTCTTACTCAGTTGATAGTGGTGATAATGAGTGTGATCCACTGTAGAAAGAGACTTTTTAAAACCCGAACTCTACAGTTAAATTACCACTCAACCTTTTCTCATTCAGACTGAATAATCTCTCAGTTCCTGTCACAATTTTTAAGTTCTTTAATAACTTGGGGAAGGGGGAGGAACCTTTTTTTTTTTTTTTAAGATACTGCAAATTTTCTACACTTCCTTCTCAAAGTGCATGTGGAATGACACAGAGTACTCAAGTAGAATTCTGACCAGAGGTGAAGGCAACAGAGAGATTCCTCCTGACTGCTGAATGCAAATTGGCAGAAGTTGACAATGATGTGATTTTATGTGGGACACTCTAATTTCCCTAGCCTTCAACTCCATGAAGGAAAAGTATTTTCACTTTCACAGCACTAGGGAAACAGATGAAATCCTAGCCCATAAATGGGAGCTTAGAAAGTCCTGGAAGCCTGCTTTAGTGGGGAGGCATCTGACCAAGTCTGGGCTAGCAGCTCAGTGGTCCCCTGTAAGGACCAGGTTGAGAGCAGGTGCCTCCCCAAACTCCCTCCCAGCTGATGTGGATCCCAGAGCTGAGCTTTTATAAAAACATTCACCACGTAGACATGCCATCAGGAGAGCTGACTCACAAGCAGCCTACACTCATGTGATGCGCCTGAAGATTTTTTTATTAGTATTACACGACATGTCTTTTCTAGGCCTGCAAGTATGTTTTACATCTCTGTTCTGATTCCTAAATATATTAGCTTTTATTCATTTGCATTTGTGTATTTTTCTAAGCAAGCAATATAATGGTGCAGTCTAATCTAAGCCTCCCAGAGGCTTGTCATAGTGGTTCTCCTTCAACTTGGTATCATCACCAGTCCTCCTGAAGAAAAAAAATCACCCCCCTTTGAGAAACTTGACCTATACCCCCTCTGACTGACAATGACCCACTGAAAACCAAGCACATCCTGGGTGAGCCACTCCTGTCAATTATGCTTCTGCAGGTTGTCTATTGGGCATAAAACATATAAGCTCAACTAACCAAAAGAAAGCATTTCAAAAACACTGGCGAAAAAACCCTTCTACAGGATTGGCACTTACCAACCAAGAAACTCACCAGAAGTTTGTGAGCTGCCCATGATTCGAGACCCACAAAATTTCAAAATAGAAAAGAACCCTACAATTTAGAAATTCAAACCCCTCTTACCCTTTATCTGTCATTCTGTTCATTTTAAGCAACCACGTATCAAGGGTCTAATCTACAGTAGGCATTGTACTAGGTCTAAATATACAAAGATATGTGAAGCCAGGCCCCACTCTCCTGGGCTCTCCATTTCCTGGGAAGGAGGCAGATAGGTAAACAAATCTTCACAGGGCATGCTCTATTCAAGGTGTCCTCCATGAAAATGAAGAGGCTGAGTCCCTTTACTCCAACTGAAGATATCAGGAGATGTGGGTCCCAGAGGAGGCAACATTTGAACCAAGGCTTGAATGATGAGAATTAAGTGATGAGAACTGTTACCATGACAATAATCAAACCCACACAGAGAAGGTACGCATGTACTTTATTAACATTAAATATGCATAGCAGACCAACGATGCCAGGTATAATGAAAAAAAAATTTAATTCCTTTGTAAAAAGCAAAATAACAACAACAACAACAACACAAACTTGGAAGTCCTGACTCAGGTTCTGTCATTGTAAGACAATATATTGTGCTTTTAATTTAATTTGATAAAATGGCAGAGCTTACAGGATGTTTAAAAACACATGTCAATGGATGGCTTAAAGCCCACTTAGGAAAATATAAGGAGTCAGCAGAGTTGGTGCCACATTTTTTTAACTTCTCATAGCCCATATATCTTCCCACTGGATAGAATCCAATGACATTTTGGGGGCCAGAGGAGGGCAGGAGGAGGGCAGGAGGTTATGTTGAAGAAGGCTGCATTTCTGAATTACAAAAGCATTACAGAAAATGATAAATTGAGATGTAAACAAAGGAAGAGGGTTTTTTTCTGGTCTTGGTTTTGTTTGTTTGTTTTTTCATGGAATTTGCCAGGTCCTTTTCTCTTCAAGTCCAAATCTAAACAATAAAAAATATATATCACCCAATATGTCAAATACTGAGTGATTAACATATTTTTTCTCACCTGTCAAAATTTGATCAGTCTATGGGGAAATACGACAAAAACTGAAAGAAAGCTTTCAAGTTCAAGCTAATATATTACAGTGAAAAGGATTTAGCCTTTTAAACCCAACTGGCATAAAGCCAGTGCAAATGACCAAACAACAAAACTGCCCTCAATCTAATTATATAACCTTATTAATATCTCCTTCTCATACTGTATTCCCTGATATGGCTGGAGAAGGAAGCATTCCAATTAACCATACAGTCATCATAGAACAATTTACAAAGAATCAGAGTATAATGAGCTCAAAATAAACATATAATCTGTCTCCATTTATTGCTTTAGGAGGCACACATCAGAACTGTACAATGTCCAAAGTCATTTGACAAGAACAGATTCAGTGCCTAAGAAACAAGGCACTGAGCCAGGCACCACTGGGGCAATGACCATAGTTTTCAAACTAAAACTCTGAATATACATATTAACAAACAATTTTATGTACCTTCCAAGCATACGCAGCATCCTGGGAGACACAGTTTAGACACCGACATACTAGAATCTCCAAAACATTCTAATGCTACATAGAGACAACTGAACATTTTATATCAGAAGTAGTAGCTCCTTCCCCAGAAAGATAAAAATAAAGTGGATCTAGACAGTTACTATAAGAAGAGACTCTAAGTCTTAGAACCTTAGAGCTGGTGGGATTTTTTTTTAAATTTAGCTCCATATAAATAAAGCTCTATGTCTCAACATCAACCATCATTCTTCTGGTTTTATAACTGTAGAAAGGTACCTGAAACTGACAAACATTGTAAGGTGGCATGTCATAATCTGGAGGCAGCTGTTAACATAAATCTCTGGTATCTACTTGTTTGTTTTGCTTTCTGCAGACATTCGCAGAATTTCCAGTTCCAGGAGATAGTTCATAGAAAGTCAGACAGACCATCATATTTTGCTGTGAGGCAAAAGCATGGATTAAGGAAATAAGAAGAAGATAAACAGAAAATTCTATTTCTCTCTATGATGGTCTTACAAAGAATACATCTAATTCCAAAAATGTAGTAATTTAATAAACAATTACTGCTTCCTCAGTTTTTGTTTTTAATTTCAAGGTTTTGGCTACCGCATATACATTTGTAAAATGGATTTGAGATCCCAGCCATAGGTCTAGGTCCTCAAGCTGACAGTCCATCTGATTTAAGCCATTATTCAGAATACCTTACAGCAGAGGAATATGAAATGTTTTATTTGACTTCATATGAAATATATAATTGATAGCTTATCAATGATAGAGCCTGTGTGAAGACGGAAGAAGGAAATATGGTAAAAATAAAATGGGTTAAAAATACTGAAAATATCAAGACTACTAAGGACTTAGTTTATAAACTGAAATCATGTTTCAGTGCCCTACATTCCCACCTGATGACTATATTTTAAAAAAAGGAGTGGGGCGCCTGGGTGGCTCAGCCGTTAAGCGCCTGCCTTCGGCTCAGGTCATGATCCCAGGGTCCTGGGATCAAGTCCTGCATCGGGCTCCACGGGAAGCCTGCTTCTCCCTCTCCCACTCCCCCTGCTTGTGTTCCTGCTCTCGCTAACTCTCTCTCTGTCAAATAAATAAATAAAATCTTTAAAAAAAGGAGTGAACACCTTAAAAAGCATTGGCTGGTATTTTCGTTTGATCATTCTCTAGAAATTAATAAAATCCTCAAACCAGATCAACTGCATGGGCCATTATCTGAAATTCAGACAAAGAGGCTTATGATAACCACCTTCAAAATAAAAGTACATAAAATTTTTTAGCAGGAGAATATGCTATTTTTATTTCTGTGTATATACCTGAAGAGAAAATAATTTTTAAGTTTTCCTTTAGTAAACCTCATGCCAAGATCAAACCAGATTATAACATTTATCATCAGAATTTATATTTCTGGTAAATACACAGGTATAAAAGCTTCTTCTCCTATTACAGCTATTTTATATAGCTAGTAATTCAGTGAAGAGAAGTTTGAAAAAAAATGTGATAGCTTAAATATACCAAAAGAAGTTACAGTTTCAAATAGATTTTCAAGAGAAGAGCATCTCTGCTAAAGGAAAGAATGTGCTTACACTTACCTGCATTCTAGTCCCACCTGTGACCGACCATTCTATCTATTCTGTCTCCATTTCTTCAACTATAAAATAAATGCCACCATAAGCTACTGTTGTAGACCCAAGGCATTCACAGATTTCAATACTAATTGTTCTGACTATTCTTGAGTGACCCTGAAAATACATTATTAAGACGCTGTCATTTGTAATTCTGTGTCAGCAGTGACCAAACAGCCATTCCCAGGCGAGGGGAGCAAGCATGACTGCATGGGCTCTCAAATTCCACTTATGAGTGGTGAGTTCAAGTTCCCACAAGTGAGGGGTGAGTACAATTTTACATTTGAGGAAAATAGCCTGTGACTTACAAAATATAACAGGGCAATTATAGAAAGATGGAATTCAAAATCTCACTATATCTCTCTTGAATATCAAGAAAGTTGCTGGAAAAAAGTTAACAATATGATTTTTTAGTATTTACCAAAGTTCCAGATCATGAATCATCATCATTCTCTACAGTTCTGGAGTGTCCAATATTTTCACAAAACTTTCAAAATAGTAATTTAACTGGATTTGCTAAGAGGAAGGTATGTCTAGAAAAATGCTGTTTTCCAATGAGGTCACTCTAAATGGATTCTTTATTTGGTTTCATAATTAGTTCCAACTTTACACATGGCTGACACAGAAAAGATAAGGAAAAGTATAAGAGGCCAATTATAAAAGTTATAAGCGTAGGGTATATCAAAGTCATATTTCATATTTCTAAGATTACAAATAAAAACAGGTCATACTTATAGAAACAAATAGACTTAAAACATGAAATAGACTTAAAATGGCGTATTTTTAAACTAATATAAACAAATGTTGGAGTAAACCTCTAACTAGATTCTAAGGTGTTACTTTTTTCACATTTTAACTGGATGTCTTAAAATACATGGCTCATTTAAAGTAGAGGTTCTTTCCCCCAGTTTCCAAAAAAAATATTATTTTTTAAATGTTAATTTTCTAATTGATGGCACTTTAGAATCACTGGAATTTCCCTGAATCACAGTCTCAATTGTTGCTTTCAGCCTTAAGTTTACAAAATGTTTTGAAAACCATGCATTTTTGTTATATTGACTTTACAGTAGAAATCCTGAAAGAAAATACTAATAGATTAATCTAATTTATAATTAATAGCATTAATTTACATGCTATTCAGTATGTCTTGAAAAGAATGTTTTGTTAAGTATATTAACCATGCCCAAATCATGTTGTTTATAGTATTAATTAGATTAGCAGGCCCCTTTCTTCATATCCAGTGCTGATGTAAACTTTAGCCACCAAACACTGACGTTTAATAAGATTGAATTAATGCGGTTTTACTGAACTCAAATGGAAAACCAGATACAAAGAATATACACAGAATAACTGAACTGGTGGTAATAAATCTAAGTAAAATAAATTCACAATGAGCTCTTCTTGACACACCACAAAGAAATGGCATTATTTAATACTTTGTTTCAAAATCCAAACATGATGATTATTACTGATGTAGCATATTTTTATTTTCTTCTTAAGCAGTATTACCATCTCATTCAGCTAGTAACACTGGTGGCTTGAATCCTTATTTACTTAATATTTTGCTTAGCTACCAGCTTCTTGATTATATGATCTTAGATATCCTTCCAGAATTTCCCTATGTGTATTTTGTCTTCACAGTCTATAAAAGCTGGCAATACAAAGAAAGACAGCGCTTTTTGTTTTTGTATTTTTTTTTAATTCCCCCACAGCCAAAAGTAACCTGACACACAGCACAAATTTCGCTACTTAAGAGTTTTTGAGAAATTCCCCAAAACTCTTCCCAGGAATTCACCCCCCATCAATCTGTCATGGTATCCGGAATTTCTACCATTAAAATCAGTTTGGGTTAAGGTAAGAGGCCCTTTAGAAAATACTGAGGGATGGGATCAAAAGGAAGGGAAAGACATGCAACAAAGCAAGCACCCATCACATACAATTTAACTTCATCTAAGTGTATGACTTTCATGTAGCAAAGTTCTATAGCCAAGAGGGAATGTTAAGGCCAGTCAAGGAGTTAAAGGCAGGAACAGGCAGGGAGAAATGAACAAAAGCCAGTTTTAAACCAGCTCTGTGGAGCACCACTGCAGAGAAAATCCAGACTATGTGGTGTTCTGGGGGAAAGCGGGGAGATTGGTCATTCTTCTATTTACTGCCCTCCACCTTTTGCCATATATATAGTTATGCGTATACTTTGTTTCCTTAAAAAATGTAAAACAGTAAATGGATCAAATTATTCGGATTTCCAACGAAGAGCATTACCCAAGATCTTTTCTATGAATTTTTATACTTTCCATTGTTTTTATCCAAGAACAGTCAAAAATGAAACAGCACCAGTTTTGCTAAATGAAGTAACTCTTTTTCTGCAGTAACCTAAATGAATGCTTTTTATCTCCAATGCTGCCATTCCCTTTCAATTTTAAGATTTGGAAAACTGATCATGGGCTCCGAACACACTCTAGAAGATGCTATGAACCTGAAAAATTGCATAGTTAGTTGAGACTTAAACTCAACCTACCTTTCTAAAGTTGCATTCTGGAAGTACAAATCAAGAAAGCCGTCACATCATGGTATTACTACAAACAAAACCACAAGCACAGCTTTATTTGTAAATAGCAATTTGTTATACAACAAAAGCCAGATGACACTAATGCAGATAATTGTAAACAAATACCATGGCATGCCATGGTAATAATGATCCAAATACTTATTTCTATATGTAACCAAATACTACTATCTGTACTTTGTAAAAGGAGAGAAAGTTTAAGGAGCACAAAAATTTCCTCAAGGATAATCCTTTTCCTGCATTAAAGAGTCAATCTCAGACCACTGAGATGACGTTCTAACAAAATTTAAAGTCATGGTTACATGAACTATGTCTTATCTGATTTTGTAAATACGAAAAATCATTTGGTCATCTGTTTTCCATTCATCATACATGCACTTTCTACTCACTAAGCGTGTGTATACTGGGGAAATGCTATTTCTTAGAGAACTGATAATCAAAATAGATTACCATTTCAAATAATTAGTTATAAAAACCATATATGTGACAAAATGTTGGATCCACCTTTCGATAATTCCTGTTAAGCCAACAATATAAAATCTGTAAGAAAGCATAAGAAAAACAGCATGCCCACCTTAAAATTAGGATTTGTCAATAAAACTTCTTTCCTATAAACAAAATTTCACATTCAAAATTCACATCAAGATCCTCATCAAAACAAATGCAAAATTACCTTTTCCTATTTTGAGACTTCCCTATGTTCCTATATTATCCACATGTGCATTTCAGTTCTGAAAAAATATGTAAATCATTTCTTTGGAATTATGGGGGGTTTGCGTACTTACAATAAAGAGCCATTTATAAAAATATTATAGCATTGGAAAAAAGCAAGGCAAATAGGCATGGAATGGTTGAATGGGCTCCTTCACATTAATCGGTAAAGACACCAAGCCAGAACATATGGACAATTATTTTTACATTCTTCCCCGCTTGACAACTTTCCATTTACAGGGAAAAGCCACACTTTGTGATTTAAAACAGGGAACCTGAACTTATGTGTGCACATATGAATGTTTTTTAATTGTTGACACTTTTACTGCTATCATTTGAATCGTAAGCTTTACATTAATTGTTTTGATCGCTTCTCGGCCTTTTGGCTAAGATCAAGTGTACATTAATTGTTTTGAAAACAGGCAATCTAAACACACAGATTGAAGTTACACCTAAACTTCACACATTAGGTAAATACTCTGATAGTTCAGCAAAAGGTCTTAATTTTTGAAAATGTCAACAGAAACCCTTAATACAAAGCCTAGTTCTTTCAAATGAATTTGAATTCACTGTTTTAACATGGGGAGCCATGCCTGCAGAAAGAACAGCTGTGCATCTATAGTCCTATTTCCAATCATTTTTGCAAAGGTATTTCCTCCTTATTTTGATGAGTCTATAAACACTGCATTCAAGCAGGACTGATTCTAATACAACCAAAACAAGAAAAGATATTTTGTGTTCTTTTTTTAAGAAGGAGAGAATAATTTCCCCCCATCACCAGGAACACACACACACAACTTTAAAAACTGAGCAAATCTGAATGGAGCAATGAAGAGTTCTGACACCCCAGGACTTCTGTATCATGGTCTTATGGCTGCTGAGTTACTTCATCTAAGTGCTCACGGGGCAAATGACTTTATTGCCTTGCACTCTACTTGCATGGCCACATTAGATACTATCTCAGGTTTACACACAGCGCGCGCACAAACACACACACAGACACACACAAACACACACGCCACACGCCACACCAGACAGTGCTGTTTCCAATTTCAGAGGCCCCTTGCGCGCCTAGCCCATACCCCATCCCTGCTCTGCTCCGGGTCCTAACACCAGGAATGAGGGACACTTCTTAATCCTGGCGGAGCTGCTCTGTCGTCCCATCCTTCCAGGATTCGTAGGATGGTTCCTCCCCCACTCCACCACGGAACACAACGAGGACGGCGGGTTTTCCCGAGCAAGAAAGACCACTGGTGGTCCCCTTCCTCATCCCACGCATCCCGGCTTCTCTACGCCAGAAACCCCAGAGGCAGAAGTATACACGATCCCGGGGCAGGGGAGAGGAGCCAATAAGAGGAATCAAATAGCCCGTTAACAAGGGGGTGCCAGGGGCATGGAAGAAGCGCGCAGGGTGAGGTTACCACGGGGGAGGTGTGCTCCAGCGGGGAACCATTCAAGAGCAATGACAGGTCGGCGGGGGAAGGCTCGGGTGGCGAGGGAGGTTGGAGAACTGCTCTTCGTGTCTTTCTCAGGGCCTGCGGGGGAATCCCGGGGCGGCGGCGGCGGGGCTCACGGGTCGTTCCCCGCCTCCCGCGGCCCCCGCGCGGCCCCTCGGCCACCCCCTCCGCCTGCGGCCGCCCCCGCTCCGCGCGGAAGGAAGCGCCGGGCTCCCCCCACGCTCTCCCGCTCTCTCGCGAGTCCTGTGCAGGCCTTTTCAGGGGGAGGGGGAGGGGGCGCGGAGGGAATTGCTGCAATGGAGCGCCGAGAGAACCCTGCCCGAGCGAGGCAGGCGGTGGAAAGCCACGGCCACATAAAAATGCCATATTAATTTTTAAAAAGCCATAAATCACCCCTCCCTCTGCAAAAGAAAATCATAAACCCGATCCCATGCAAGCCTGCGAGCAGCCACCCACTTCCTATTTCTGTCACAGCAGCTACACCCTGCCAGCAACCACCCCCCGGGCGCCCCCTCCCGCCTCCGCCACCCCCGCCGCCGCCTCCCCGCTGCTCAGCCATTTGCCAGCTGACGCCCCCGTAAATAAAAATGCCCCAAGTGGGGCCGGGGGGGAGGCCTGGGGGAAGGGCGCGCAAAGGAGGGGGGTTCGAGGGTTGCACAATATCCTAGAAGGTCCGTGGCTGGAGCAAGGAGAGAACCGGAGGCGGGGGGAGGGGAGGCAAGCCGTGAGGGTTCCTGCGGCACACGGTGCACCCGGGCGACCGCGGCGCGCCGCTTACCTTTCACCACCCTGTCGGTCGTCGACAACTTGGGATCAATTGCCTTTGGCTCGGACATCTCCAGCCGCCGGGGGACAGCGACGCGCTGCTCGTCCGTCCTAATGCACACCCCGACCGGACCGGCGGGCCAGACACTCAACGCCGCCGCCGCCGCGCTGCAAACCGCTCGGCTGGAGGTCTGGGCTCTGAGCTGGCTTTAAAGTTACTGCCTTCTCGCGCGTCCCTCCTCCTCCTCCTCCTCCTCCTCCTCCACCTCCTCCTCCTTCGCCGCCGCCTTCACTCCTCCTCCGCCGCCGCCAGCCCCGCCGACTCTGCTCCGGGCTGCGCGTGTGTGGTGGTTATTTATTTATTTTCTAAGCACGCCTCTTGGTTCTTCTTTTATTCTTGGGGGAAGGGGGATGGGGAGGAGAAGCGCACACAGGAGCACCCACCCTGGCAAGGAAACCGGGCACCGCGGAATGGAGCCCCACGCGCGCACTCTGCCGGGATTAAGACCGATCACATGGGGAGGGCCGGGGGCGAGAGAGAAGAGGCAGGGCCGCCGATGTCAGTGCCACCAGCCGTGCCTCGGCGTCTCCGGCGGCGGAGAGGCGGCCGCCGCTGCTGCTGCTACTGCTGTTGCCGCCGCTGCTTCCCCACACCAGGCGCCGCCGCTTGTCCGCGGCCGCCGGAGACGTCCCGCCGCTGCGCTCGCCCGCGCTCGTCTCTGCCTCCCCGCGCCGCTCCTTCACTCACACAGGCACAGCCGCGGAGCTCGGCAGACACAGTCCCGGGCGCAACCTACCCTCCTCCTCCGCCGCCGCCGCCGCCGCCGCCTCCACCTCCGCCACCGCGCCCGCCTCCGCCTCCTCCCCTTCCTCCTCCCGGCCCCCGCCTCCAGCGCCCCGGCAGCCTCCACCTCCCTGCGGAGCCAGCCCCTCGCTCCCCGCCCCGACGTCGAAGCTATGGGCGCCCATTGGCTGACATGCGCGTCACTCACTGCTAGGTAGCGGCCTCCCCGCTCGTCCCGCCTCCCGCTCCTCCTCGCCGTCCCCGCCCCCCGCCCTGTTTTCTCCCGGCTGCCAGTCCAGTGGGCCTGCCGCCTCCGCCGCCCAGTCCCCGCTCAGGTGTCACTGTTGCTGGCAGGCCGGGATTAGGGAAGGAGAATGGGCAGGGGGTCGCGGCTGGGAGGAGAGGGGCTGTACCCTGCCACCCACAGCCCCATTTGGCATCCGCCCCTGGACCCCGCACACTCCCCCGCGCCGCTTTGGCAACTGTGCCTTGTCGGCTGGGTTAAGCCGCAGTGTGAGTAGCCAAGTGCTGAGGGTGTCTCCGGGTGTGTGCGTGGCCCGCGAGAGGGCAAAAGGGGGGGAGGCAGGGAAAGGAGGGAAGGGGGTGGGGGTGAGAAGCACCGAGAGAGGGCGGAGGAAGGAAGAGCGCGGGGAGCTCCGGGTCCCGCGGCACAGCTGCTGTCGCTGTCGCTGCCGCAGCTGTCCAGGGAGGATCGCCAAAACGGCGACGAATAAACAACTTACCTTGGGGAGACGGGCTCAGCCTGTGATGGGTGTACGGTGGTTTTTGCTTTGGGGGCTTTTTTGTGGGCGGTGTGGTGGTTATCAGTGTTTCCCACCCATGCATCCACACCTTTTCTAAGGAGGGGGACGCTTCTGAGCGTCGCGGGCCGGGGACGTGGCGGAGTGTGCGGGGCGGGCTCGCCAAGGAGATTGGGGACGGGAGTCCAAGCGACCCCCGGCAACTCTGAGTCACCCAGGGCTGCCCTGCCCATCTCCTGGGAGAAATGAGGGGGCGGGACACACACCGGAGAGGGTCGCCTTTTCCCTGTTCACACGCGCACGCAGCCAGTGGTTGGGACTGGTGGCACCACACCTCCCTTCCTGGCTCCTTCCAATCATCCGACGTCCACTTGGTGCTCCCGGTGTGTGCAGGGCCCTGAAGCCCAAGGCGGATCCCCACTCTGGTCCCTTCGGTTGGAAGGAGAATAAAGGAGAGAGTGCTAGGCG